AATATTCCACCATAAGATAGTCTATGTCATTTTCTAACATTCATATGTAATAAAGTTACAGCAACAAAACATAATAAATACAATAAAGTCTTCATCAGGTTTACATGCATCATAAACAATGTAACCAACTGTATCTTTGTTCTTAGTGATAAATCGGTAATAATTGTTTAAAAAATAGAATAACATTAAGGTTGAAAACATAAATGGCAAGCAAAACTTGGCATATGGTACATGGAATCTATCAAACATCATCAAAAAATATATAAATCAGCAACAAAGCTTTTTTGGATAGAGCTAAAACAAAAAAAAAAAAACCCATAAAACAAGGCATTTATATCAAAAACATAAATCCAAATCTAAATGACATCTACTAGTATGAAAAAAAAAAAAAAAGAACATTGGAAGGCAACAAATAATGCAGATCAGATAAAAAGATCAATCAAAAAGTATAACACCATTTTGTGTAAAAAAACGAAGATAAACTTAACAAAATGAAAATTAAATGAAGGATGTTAAAGTTGAAATTGGTTCAAAAAGAAAAGTAAATGCTATGAGTAGAGATATGTTGAAATAAAAATTAGAAACACAATGGGTATTGAAGCATAATAAAGATATCAGATAAAGTGTTCCATATGTACAAAAACCTTATTTGATGTATACAATATAGGCTCTTCTGCTTCATGATTAGACATTACAATGTTTATATTATCAGAACATGATTTTCAAAAGGGAAAACAAAATTTAATATGTTGCAATTAAGGCATTTGCAAAAAGAAATGCCTTAATTGATAACCAATTAAGGCATTTTTCCATGCAAATGCCTTAATTGATGGACATTTCAATTTTTATCATACCGTGACTGAAAATCATTCATGCCATAACACGGTCTTCAAAAGTAAAAAGTTTTTTAATAAATTATCAATTAAGGCATTTCAATGAAGAAATGCCTTAATTGATGATCAATTAAGGCGTTTGATGAACAAAATGCCTTAATTGATGCATTCATCAATTTAAGACATTTCATGCATGAAACACCATAATTGATGATTAATTAAGGCGTTTGTGTACAAAAATACCTTAATTGATCATCAATTAAGGCATTTTTTCATGCCAAACACGTTAATTGCAATATAAAAATAAAATTAAAATGCCATTGACAAAAACCTACAACTGAATTTTAGTCACTTTTAAACATGCTTTTCAAAAGGGTAACGGCTATGTGATAATTTTTTATTTAAGTTAAATTTGGAAATAAGATAACTTTTTTCCCCGAAATCCTAGAATATCATAAGGAGATGTGAGTTTTCGATTCCAAGACTTAAGATACTATTGGGAATCTGATATTTTTCCTTGTAATCAGATTTCTTAAACCAAACGTAGGAATCAAATACCTACCATTAAGATTTCAAGAGAAAATTTGTGAATTCCCCCAAACCAAAAGCACTCTAAGGGGTATTTTGATAATTTTACACCTTTCAAGGTATTGTTGTGATTTCAATCACACCAAAAATCATCAAACATTTTAAAAGCATGATCTTGAAAGTTTCACAAAAGATCGACCTAGAAGGTCAAATTATAAAAATAACCTTAAAGGATATTTTAGTGATTTCACATTTTCTAACGTGCAATCAAGGTTTTCAATATTCCAAAAATCATCAAATAATATTAAATCATAAACTGGAGCTTCCCACGAAATTTCGACCTTGAAAAGGTCAAATTACAAAAATACCTTCAAATGGTATATTTGTAATTTCATATCTCCTAAGGTGTAAGTTGAGTTTGTAATGTATCAAAAATCATTAAAAAACATTTAATCATGATTTGGAAATTTTAACAAAAATTTGACTTTGAAAAGGCCAAATTACAAAAACTCCTAAGAGCATTTCAGTAATTTTACACTTTTCACAATGTAATCAAACTTTTTAGTACTTTAAAAATCACAAATTTCAATTTAAAACCACATTGATTCAAATTTGGTTGTGAATTATGAAAGTTGACCGAGTTTTATTTGCTTTGACCAAATTTTGACCTGGGATACTTGGGTCAAAGTGGTCCAAATTTTTATTTTTAAAACTTTTTAAAATTGAAAAAAATGTTGAATTTGAACTAGATTGAATTTTAAAAGCTTCAACAATGGCTAGATTTTACCCAGATAAAATTACATGTCTATAATCTCAAGACCAAATCATTAAAAACATATATAAATCATAAATCAAAGCATGTAAATCATTAAAAATGGGATGAGGCTCTTGGAATGAAGAACTATATAAAGAAGAACTAAGAACTACATGGAATGGAGATGAAAAATGCATGAAAAGGGTGACCAAAATGGCTACCTTACAAAGCTTTTCCAATTTTTTTTCTTTTCTGGTTCCTTCCCTCACTTCCCAGCTGCCTCCTCACCAAATTAATAAATGTAAAGCCCAAGACGCCTTTTAATAGCTATTGGATCAAAATTCATCCAAAGGTTGTAATTTTGTCTTTTTCTTCAATCTTGGTGCCCAAGGCTTGCAACATAGGTCATAGGATTATTGTACCTTGAAATATAATGGCTTTAGAAAATACAGCACATAAACTTGGCTGGTAGTACAGCTATCCAAGTAAAAAGACCATTTTATCCTTATTAGCAATTTTCCAATTTGCATGATTTTCTTGGAGACCTATGATCCCATCTCTATTTTTTTTTCTTTTATTTTAATGCACCAAAAATCATAAAATAATATGAAAAACATGATCTGGAGTTTTTCATGAAAATTGACCTTGAAAAAGTTAAATTACGAAAATACCCTAAAGGGTATTTTGGTAATTTCACACCTCCCGCAGTGCGATCAAAGTTTTTAAATCACCAAAAATCATAAAATAATTTCACAACAAGATCTTGAGTGTTTTGTGAAAAGCCAACCTTAGGAAAGGTCAAATTATGAAAATACCCATAAAAGCTATTTTAGTAATTTCATACATTTCAATGTACGACCAAGGTTTTTAATACATCAAAAATCATAAAATAATGTTAAAACATGATCTGGAGCGTTTCACAAAAAGTTGACTTTGAAATGATCAAATTATGAAAATACTCCTAAAATGGCATTTTAGTAATTTTTCACCTTCCAAGTTACGATCAAGGTTTGTAATGCATCAAAAATCATAAAATAATATTTAATCATGATTTAAAAGTTTTCACCAAAAACCAACTTCTAAAAACTAAAATTACAAAAATACCCATGAAGGGCATTTCGATAATTTTACCTAAGAGTGAGAACAAAAATCAAGAAGATTGAAAACCGATTCAAAACTAAAGTGTTTGGTTTGATTCGAATCGATTTTTTTCTTATTTAGTTCAAATCAAGTTATGATATTAAATATATATATTAGGTTTAGACCGAATTTCAGATCGAGAGGTGAAAAATTGAAAAAAATCGAACCAAACAAATTATATATTTTTCTTAGGTTTTATATATATTTAAACTTTTATAAAATAAAAATAATAATTTTATATCAAAATCTACTTAAATATATTACAATTTTATATTAAAATAATATATAAAATTTAAAATTTTAAATTTAAAAACTGATAAATCGAACTAAATCGATAAAATTTGATTCAGATCAAAAGAAGATTCAGTTTGGATTCGAATCGGATTTTAAAATTTTATAATATTACACAATATCTAAAAAAATCAAACTAAATCTAATCCGATCCAAATCGTTATCACTCATAATTTTATCCTTCCTAAAACGCAATTAAGGTTTTTAGTGTATTAAAATCACAAGTTTCAACCTCAAACCTTATTGATCCTATTGAGTTGTGGATTTTGAAGATTGACCGAAGTTTGGCCTAGATTGATTGATTTTGATCAAGTTTAATTTTATTTAATCACATTTGAACAAGTTTGACTTTGGGACATTATAATCAAATTGGTCTTATTTTTTATTTTAAAAACTTATCTAGATTAAAAAAATATTGAATTCAAACTGGGTTAAATTTTAAAAGTTTCACAAATAGCTATACTCTATTCGAATAAAATTAAATATCTACATATGTGCAACGCATGTGACAACATATACTAATATTTTAAAAAGTTATAATCTAAAAAGGTTTCCTTAATTTCGTTTTTATCTCATTTTGCTTGTCCTTATTTGACTTTCACAAAATTTAATAAAATAAATTTGACTTTAGCATATTTTATATATTAATTTTTTATAGATTTGAAATATCATGATTTTTAATTCCAAAAAATTAAAATAATCATAAAAAATAATATTTTTGAATATAAAAAAATATGAAAATTACATATTCAGAAAAAGAAATAGACTATCCAAAAAAATGGAAAAAATAGACAAAGGGAATAATTTTTCAAACTTAAAGCGGTACTACAAACTTTAATTTCATTAAATTGCTATCTTAATTAACATATAATATTTGTCAGAATAGCTCTATTTGTTGGACAATCTGAGTAATGAAAATGAAATGGAGAAAATAAATAACTAATGCATGTGTGTGTTTCTTTTTCGTGAACAGCTAGACTGTCAAACACTTTTTAATATAACTGAATTCTTGTTATCATTTCTCAATTCAAACAATCCCCCACAATTCACTCTCTTTTCATGCTTAAAATCACTTCAAGTGTCAATTTTTTACACCAATTCCGTAAATGGTTGTATCAGATGGGCTACGTTGATGCATCCTCCACATTATGGTATAAGAAAATTGTGAGTGAGAGTGATAGCCGAATGACCTGGGCTGCGTAGACCAAGAGACTCCCGCTCGTTCGCTCATTTACGGTTGATATTCCAAAAAAAACTCTGCTATATAGAGGCCAAGTAATGTACTCAATCTTCACATTTTCGATTTGTACCATTTTGTATCATAGCAACCAAACTAAACTTGAAAAAAAAAAAAAACCAACAAAATAGAAGTACTAGTGATTAAATTGTTTTTATTTGTTTTTTCTTTGAAGGAGTAAAATGAAGTAGCCGATGGTTTGACGTATATGAGAGAAGCCTCAGCTCCACTTTGATAACGTACTTTTGCTTTGCATTTAAACATAAAGAAAGAGACTGCATTTTTTATTTTTTCTGGGAAAGTAAATAGAAGAAGAGAGAAAGATGGCGGATAAGAGCATCAGCTTGGAAGAAATCAAGAATGAGACCGTCGACCTTGTGAGTATATTTTTTTCTTCGTCATTTTCATTAGAGTATTCTTTGTTTCTGGTTTTCTCAAGGTTGTGAAATTTGTGTTTGAACTTTGATATGTGGTGCAGGAGCGGATTCCTGTTGAAGAAGTGTTTCAGCAGTTGAAATGCACCAAGGAAGGCCTATCAAGTGAGGAAGGGCAAAAAAGGCTGCATATCTTTGGCCCCAACAAGCTTGAAGAGAAAAAGGCAAATTTGCTAATTTTAACCCCTTTTTTTTTTTTTTTTTTTTGTTCTCTCTATTTTGTTTCTAGTACAGATTAGGGAGAGATGCTGATCAGTGTTGAACAAAATTTAAACAGGAAAGCAAGCTTTTAAAGTTCTTGGGATTTATGTGGAATCCTCTCTCATGGGTCATGGAGATTGCTGCTATCATGGCCATTTGTTTGGCAAACGGAGGAGTATGCTAATATCTCTCTCTCTCTCTCTCTCTCTCTCTCTCTCTCTGTGTGTGCCTTTCTCTTGTACTTGAATTAATAGACTTCGATAAGCAATCTCAAATTCTATGACTAAATGCAGGGCAAGCCCCCAGATTGGCAAGATTTTGTTGGCATTGTCACATTGCTCGTTATCAACTCAACTATTAGCTTCATTGAAGAAAATAATGCAGGCAATGCTGCTGCAGCACTTATGGCTAGTCTTGCTCCCAAAACCAAGGTGCTTAAGAATATGAATAACTTGCAAATACAATATAAAGGAATGAAGTCACTAAACCTTTATGCATTTTGAATGGTTGAAGGTCCTGAGAGATGGAAAGTGGTGTGAGCAAGAAGCTGCAATTTTGGTACCGGGAGACATCATCAGCATCAAGTTGGGAGATGTCATCCCAGCAGACGCACGCCTCCTTGAAGGCGATCCACTCAAGATTGATCAGTCTGCCCTTACGGGCGAGTCTTTGCCTGTAACCAAAATCCCAGGGGATGAGGTATTTTCTGGTTCTACTGTCAAGCAAGGTGAGATTGAGGCTGTAGTTATTGCCACTGGCGTGCACACCTTCTTTGGCAAAGCTGCTCACCTTGTTGATAGCACCAATAACGTAGGACACTTCCAGCAGGTAATGTCCGAAACAGTGTTCAAATGTGTCTTTTCTGGTAATGAAGAATATAAAAAATAAGCAGTATTTGTACGTTCCAAACTTTCGTGTTTGTTCTTCACTTGTACCTGATGTGCACTGAATGGTGATTGTTTTATTAGGTGCTGACAGCAATTGGGAACTTCTGCATATGCTCAATTGCAGTAGGGATGATTATCGAGATAGTGGTGATGTATCCAATCCAGCACCGCAGGTACAGAGATGGAATCGATAATCTGTTGGTGCTTCTCATTGGAGGAATTCCAATTGCCATGCCAACAGTTTTATCCGTGACAATGGCCATTGGATCTCATCGGCTTTCGCAACAAGGTGCTATCACTAAGAGAATGACAGCTATTGAGGAAATGGCTGGAATGGATGTACTCTGCAGTGACAAGACTGGGACACTTACTCTCAACAAGCTTACTGTAGACAAGAGCATGATTGAGGTTAGTCCTTGAGTTAAAATTATAAGTAATTATGGATTCATGATGCATTAAGTTCCATCATATACCATTTAACAAAAAAAAAGTCAATTAAGAAAACAAAAACAAAGTATGATTGTTTTGTTGACATTGGAAACGGTTTTGTGAAATTTCAGGTGTTCACAAAAAATGTTGACAAGGACATGGTTATTCTACATGCAGCTAGAGCTTCCAGGGTTGAGAATCAAGATGCTATTGATGCCTGCATTGTTGGAATGCTAGGTGATCCCAAGGAGGTGAGATAAGAAAGATTGCCAAAAGTTCTAATCAGTTTGAGCTACTTGTCCCAATGAGCAAGTTAAGCATTAATTTTATAAACTTTGCCTCATATCATGATAACTGATAACATATGTATTTGCAGGCCAGAGCAGGTGTTACAGAGGTGCATTTCTTGCCCTTTAACCCGGTAGACAAGCGTACAGCCATGACATACATTGAGTCTGATGGTAGTTGGCATAGAGTCAGCAAAGGTGCACCAGAACAGGTAAATGGATCGGCTTGCATTGTACCAATGCTTTTCTTATAATCACTGTTCTTCATGTCTTTGTTAATACTTCATACCTGACGTCTCTACCAGATTATTGACCTATGCAACCTCCGAGAAGATGTGAAGAAGAGAGCTCATGATATCATCGCTAAGTTTGCTGATCGTGGGCTTCGGTCTCTTGCTGTGGCTAAACAAGTGACTTTCTATGCTACTTTCTCCCTAGCTTTATTTGAATTGTCAAGTAAACGGGAAGAAAAGCTTACTATGGAATAAACTTTTTTATTTTGTAGATTGTGCCAGAGAAAACCAAGGAGAGCAAAGGAGAACCGTGGGAATTTGTGGGTTTATTGCCTCTGTTTGATCCTCCAAGGCATGATAGCGCAGAGACAATTCGCCGTGCTCTAAGTCTTGGTGTCAATGTCAAGATGATCACAGGTGATCAACTAGCTATTGGAAAGGAAACCGGTCGCAGGCTTGGCATGGGAACTAACATGTATCCATCATCTGCTCTGCTTGGACAAAATAAGGATGAGACAATCGATACAATTGGCGTTGATGAGCTTATTGAGAAGGCTGATGGCTTTGCAGGCGTTTTCCCTGGTAAGTTAATTTGATACATTTTGGTATCAATTTAATGATTATCTTAGAGCTGGTGTGTTTTAAAAACTGTCATTATTGACCTAACAAATGGCTAACATTCAGAGCACAAATATGAGATTGTGAGGAGGCTACAAGAAAGGAAGCACATATGCGGCATGACAGGAGACGGTGTGAATGATGCACCGGCCCTGAAGAAGGCAGACATTGGGATTGCAGTTGCTGATGCAACTGATGCAGCTCGAGGAGCATCAGATATAGTCTTAACAGAACCAGGATTGAGTGTGATTGTGAGTGCTGTTCTGACAAGCAGAGCAATTTTTCAGAGAATGAAAAACTATACCATCTATGCTGTCTCTATTACTATCCGTATCGTGCTGGGTTTCATGCTCCTCGCTCTAATTTGGAAGTTTGATTTCTCGCCTTTCATGGTTTTGGTCATTGCCATACTCAACGATGGAACAATTATGACCATTTCCAAGGACAGGGTAAAGCCATCTCCCATGCCTGACTCATGGAAGCTCAAGGAGATTTTTGCTACAGGCATTGTCCTGGGTGCCTATCTTGCATGCATGACTGTTGTTTTCTTCTGGGCTGCTCAAGAGTCTGACTTCTTTCCAGTAAGAAAAATCTCTTTATATTCTCCTTAAACCATAATAGGAACCGCTAGGCATCAATTAAAGAATGATAATAATTGCAGGATAAATTTGGGGTAAAATCCATTATGAACAATCAAGAGGAACTTACTGCTGCTGTGTACCTTCAAGTGAGCATTGTGAGTCAGGCACTCATCTTTGTCACTCGTTCTCGGAGTTGGTCTTTTGTTGAACGTCCTGGTCTCCTGCTGGTGACTGCGTTCATTTTAGCACAACTCGTAAGTTTATAAAATTTGACTTCAATTTGCTGGAATAGAATTGTTGTAGTTGTAAATTTTTTTTTTCTTTGATTCAACTTTTCAGGTGGCTACTGTAATTGCCGTTTATGCAAACTGGGGCTTTGCCAGAATGAAAGGCATTGGATGGGGTTGGGCTGGTGTCATTTGGATCTACAGTATAGTCTTCTACATCCCACTCGATGTAATCAAGTTCTTGATCCGTTATTCTTTGAGTGGAAAGGCTTGGGACAATTTGCTTCAAAATAAGGTAATCCAATTAGCATTTTCTCAATGACAAGAACTCGTGTTTTCCTCTAGAAAGATTTTCCTTTTTTGAGGTTGCCTTTGTCACTCAGATTAAAAGTCCAGCATTCTACGCAACTGTTTGCCTGTTCAAAGATTCTCATCTTGCTGTGTTAACATCTATTTGTAGACTGCCTTCACGACAAAGAAAGATTATGGAAAAGGAGAGAGGGAGGCGCAATGGGCCATGGCTCAACGCACCCTTCATGGTTTGACACCCCCTGAATTGACAGAGCTCTACAACGAGAAGAGCAACTATAGAGAACTGTCAGAGATTGCTGAACAAGCCAGGAAGCGTGCGGAAGTTGCAAGGTGAAAATCATCCTTCAAAGCTAAACCCAATTTTGCTTTCTGTTGTCCTAATCTAAAACTGATTCTTATACCTCAAAACTTTTTTTACCAGGTTGAGGGAGCTTCATACGCTCAAAGGACATGTTGAATCTGTAGTGAAACTCAAAGGACTCGACATTGACACCATCCAACAGCACTACACTGTGTGAGGGAAAGATCGGAATTGTGGTTGTTGACTCGCAATTTTGTAGTAGGAGAAGATATGGTATTGGAATAATTTGTTTTGAATAACCCAACAAAAAAGAGATTGTCTTACAGTTAGACTCAGACAATCCTTGGTTGGAGTATGCAAAGATTTTGTTTCGTCATTTTCTTTCTTCAAATCTAGTACAATCAAGCTTCCAAAAATTGTGCACAATGTTTATGGTATTCTCCTCCACACTGAATAAGGATGAGCATAGCCCGAGTAGATGGTCTTGAGACAGAGAGGAACGCTCCATAAATGATTTGCAAACCAAAACTATCTATTCGTGAGTAGTTGTAACAAAATAAACTTTGAACATGAAATCCGATTGGAAAAGCCCAAATCCAGCCAAAATTCAAATGCAATCGAATTCAATTGAAAATTAAAAATTTAAAGATTCAGAATTTTAAAAAAATAATATAAAACAGTTCAAATTCAAATGACCCAATCCGATACAAATCTAAATTCGAATTTGAAAAAAAAATACTAAAATGATTACATCTTCATAAAATCTAAAAGATGATTTGATTAATTCATACTTAAACTTATCTCAAATTTAAAATAATCAAAACTCGAAATGATCTAAATCCAAAAAAATCAACATCCAAAATAATCCAAACTCTTTATCACATTTATTTATCAGACTAGTTTTATCAATTTAATTTGATTCAAAATCAACCTTTTAAACCTTTTAAAATATAAAAAAAATTAAATTAAATCTTAACACAAAATATAACATGATAATCTAGGTTTTCAATTATTAATATTTGTGAATCATGATAACAAACTTGTTTTCTCTATTTTTTCTCGAAATAAAAAATCGAATAATATAACAAATTACTTGCATAGCATCGTACTAAATTAGGAACATTAACTTCATTTATCGCAATTTGAAAAATTACACAGATTCATAAATTTCATTAAAAAAGTTGTAACTGAATGGGGGTCAAAGGATCCTAAAAAAATTCTGAACAGAGCAAGAGAGATTTTTGCAAGCCGAATTACTTGGATTTCTTGAATTAATTGAATCGCGTGACAAGCATACATATTTCTTCAACATTAAAGTTCTCCGCATAATTAAAAGAAAATTAGAAACTCATATTATATCCTAATGACAAAGGCCAATAATTTACCAATATCATCAAAATTATCAACATTCACGAACTTTTCAAGATCAATAAATAATGAGACGCAAGATTTAAATTCCTTTAAAACACACAAATTCCTAGTTGTATTTTCAAGAATCATGGTTTTTTTTACAATGAACACGGATCTTTTATTTCCCTTTTTGTTTGTTTACATGAAAGATTTATAATGATTTACATGCATTTTACAATGCTTTAAGCAATGTATTATTACTAAAAATGAGAAATAATAAGACATTCGGATCGTTGAGACTAAAGAAGGCACGGATTGGATCCCAGCCATCCCCATTCCCCTAAATCCCCTTGATCAAAAGAGAAATAGGCACAAGTTGAAGATTCCCTGTAATTACCTTCTATTAGAAAAGGAAAGAAACAACCGCTGGTGTGATTTTGCTGATCCTACGAATCAAGAGGCTTTTGACCGCTTGATGGGAGGAAAATGCCCAACATGTTCCAAGTACCACAAAGCCCCTTCAGCTGCATGATCTGCTGCCATTTTCTTCTTCGAATGAGGATCACTAAAGCACTCCAAAATCGTAGTCGTCGATGCTTCTTTTATCTCAACAACAACCTTGAAAGTGAATCTGTTTAACACATGAATTAGTCAACATATAGTCTCCGTAGTGTGCTTTTGTTACGCATTAAGGAGTAGTTCAGGAATGCGGATTAATGCAGTGCGGTGGGGGATTTCCCCCCCCACTGACCAGTAAGCGATTTTGAGATCTATGAATTCCATGGCTCATGAAAATAGCTTTTCTGGAACTTACATTGGGAATTATAATTTTGTCCTTTTTTTTTTCTTTTTTAAGCGGAAGGGAGAAAGAATACATAAAATTAAGGGAAGCGACTCAAGAACTGCAGCTGATGTTACTTACAATTTCCTATGGGAAGGGCCTTCCTCCTTGCAGCATTCATACAATGGAAAGTTCCATTTGTTTGCAGAACATATCTCATACAACTGTGATTTGGCTGATGCCGTTTTCAAAGCATCTAACAGGAAAACAATACCATATTAGAACCTAGCTAGAAGTAAATTTCAATACACCAATACCAAATTTGTTTTGATGTCACCTAAATTAAAATTTTACCTTTTGGTTTCATTCTTTTCTGTATATCTTTGAATTGGGAGAATTGACAAAAGATGCTAAAACTCTAAGTGGCAATGTGTCTTATAATCTCCCTTCTCCTCACTTTTACCATCCAAAAATAGGAAAAAAAAAAATCCTCTTTCCTCGACTACTTAGAAGCAATCAGACGCAATCTGTGAGAAATAATGTCTTCCAACCATGATTTTATTGAATTAAATTGCATTAACTCTAGCAGATCCTTCGTCTTCCTGATGGAGTACTTATCTTTTAACAATTAACATGATTCTTGGTTATTACTTTTGCTACTTACTTTTTACTTTTAAAATCAAAAGCTATAAATTAATTAGGGTTGTAGACACCCAATTGGTCCAGGTCCAGATCAATTGGGCCTGACCCAAATGGGTAAGCCCAATCCAATTTTTATCTTGTGTTATTTTTTTTTCTTTCTTTTTCTTTTGTATTTTATTTATTTTATTATTTATTATTATTATACGTATATTTTTATTTATTTATCTATTTTTTTCTGTTAATATTTATATGTATTTTTATATAGTTATATATTTATTATTATATTATAATTTATTTATTATTATTTTTTATCTTGTAATATTTTTTAGGTTTATCTTATTTTCATTATCTGTTAATTTTATTTTTATTCATTTATTTGATTTTTTCGATTATCTGATTGTTATCATTATTTTTTTTTCTTTTTTGAGGGTTGTGATTGAAAGTTAAAGAATCCCGCTGTGGATGGGAATTGGAAAAGATTGAATCCCCGTCCAAGGAGGAATTGGAATTGATCAAAAACTCCTGATCAATTCCTATAAAAGGAACCTCCTGGAATAGATGTTGGACACACAGAAAACAGTAAGCAAAAGCTACTGATTGAGAGAATAGGGATGTATAGAAAGCTAAGGAAAGGTTTAGGAGTGTTCTGGTAGATAGCAGAAATTTTTTGAAGTTTTTTTGGCGATTTTTTTTTTGGAATTTCTGGAAATTCCAGATTCTGATGAATTTTTCGGTGAAGTTTGAATTTTTCGGTGAAAATTCCGGTCAACCTTGAAGTTTCCGGTGACCTGCCCAGTTTTCGACGAAGAATCCCAGAAACCGGTAATCATCCAGCTAACTTCCGACGAACTTCCGACGAAAAAACCCAGATTTCGACGATAAAACCCAGAATCCGGTGAATCTTCAACCGGAGTTCTTCGGCCTTTTAGAGTGAAGGGAGAGGGGAGGAGCGTTCTACAAAAAAACAGAGGGAACTACCTATTATACCCTCTCAAAACGACGTCGTTTTGGCCTTAAGTAACCTAGAAGATCCGTGCGTTTTATCGAGATCCGACCCGACCCGAGCGTCGATCCGCTTCCTGACCCACGCGTGTCTGGCCCCTCCAAGCCGAGTCGAGCCGAGCTTCAAAGCCGCTTCTCTGAGCCGTTTTCTTTTCCTTGAGCCGAACCGAGCCGCGATCCGAGCAGCTCCAGTTTTTTTTTTTTGAATTTTTTTTTCATTTATTTGTTTATTTGTTTTTTTTATTAGATTAGGTTTATTTAATATTTTTTCTCTTTATCTTATTTTTATTTTTGTTTTACTTTTCTTTATTTTTTATCTTTATTTATTTTCACTTTTATTTTGTTCTATTTTCTTTAAATAAAAATCAAAGTTTCAAAAAAGAATATTTTTGAGGAAAAGTTGAAAGTATCAATTTTCCTTGGAAATCAAAGTTTCAAAAAAATATTTTTGAGGAAAAGTTGAATGTATCAATTTTTCTTAAAAATAAATTTCAAAAAAAAGGTTTTTGAGAAAAAGTTGAAAGTATCAATTCTCCTTGGAAATCAAAGTTTCAAAAAGATATTTTTGAGGAAAAGTTGAAAGTATCAATTTTTCTTAAAAATAAATTTTCAAAAAAATATTTTTGGGGAAAAGTTGAAAGTATCAATTTTCCTTAAAAATAAATTTTCAAAAAAAAAAAAGATTTTTGAGGAAAAGTTGAAAGTATCAATTTTCCTTGGAAATCAAAGTTTCAAAAAAATATATTTTTGAGGAAAGGTTGAAAGTATCAATTTTTCTTAAAAATAAATTTTCAAAAAATATTTTTGGGGAAAAGTTGAAAGTATCAATTTTCCCCACACAAGAACAATCATTCTCTCCTTCCTTTCTATTTTGATTTTGATTTTGATTTTTCTTTAACTAATCCGACGATGGAGCCTCTGCAAGTGAAACAGTAGTTTTTCTTGCATACTCTTGAGGTGAGGGAATTTTTTCAATTTTTTGCTAAAAGTATTAGAGTCAATTGAGAATAATTTCCAATAATTAATTACTTGGTAAAATTTTAAGGCTTTTGGATAACACAAATTTAAGCTGGTACCATCTTTTGATGGGCGTTGTGAGAGTGCTATAACCTTCCTCACACGTAACCGAACTCCCGAACCCTGTTCTGGTTTGTAGACTTGAACCTATTCTTTTAGGGACCCTTAAACTTAGGTGTTCTCTAAAAAGACAGATTCTTTAGGTGGCCAATCGCACCTAGATAAAAAAAGATTGGTGGCGACTCCCTTAAGTCAATGTCTAGCGATAGATCCCCGGATCTAGACGTTATGACAGCATGGCGACTCCACTGGAGAATTTGATAGTCAGGCCAGCAAATAATTTGTGTTACCCAAAAGCCTAATAAAATTGAACCTTTTTGTATATATGTGTTATTATTCATTCATGTTGATTTACTTTGTTAATTATGTCATTCATATGTATGTGCATAACATGAGCTCTACACCCGAGCTCCGTCCCTCTAGGAGGGAGTAAAGTACCTATTGCTTTCGTGAGGTCTAATGCCTCCGCATTGGCTAGTGAAATACTCCCACTCAAATTGAACATTTTCCGCTTGTAGCCTGTAATGGGCGAGGATTAGGGTGCCTTACTAGTCTGCGATGGACAGGGATGTAAGGAGCAATTTGAGGACCTTCAGACTCTGACCTTAAAACCGCATGTAATGAACCTTAAGAGTGCCTACACCTAAGATAGAGCCCTTTCTACCCAATGATAGATATACCCTGAAATTAGGACACAAAAAGAGTGTTTGTCTAATCATTTTGATTGTTTAACTTTGTGTATTATTTTTATCATATGTAACATTATGCATCAGCATCACTTTCATTTCATCCATGGAACTAACTATGTTGTTTGTCCGATTGTATGCATCTGCATTATTTTCATGATCATGTTTTAACACAATCATTTGCATTCATTTCATACTAGATTTCATTCAAAAAAATGTACATTTCATTTATGTATCAAAGCATCATACATAAGGCACAGCATAATATTTCTAATCATAAGTATGGTATTCAAGGTCCGAGGATAGCTTCATCTAGCGAAAACCCTGCTCATCCATACAACACAAGATCCAGAGCAAGGCAAATGAAGGAGAAAAGTTCTCATAGATTTGAAAAGCTAAAAAAAGCTCAAGAAAAGATTGAAAGTGAATTAAGCAAGATTCTGAAGGCTCTTAATAACATGAATAAAGGAAAAAGAGTTGAAGGAAATACAAGCCAGCAAGATGTGGCTGACCCTTTGTATCCTCCAAGTTTTGGCCCACCTCAAGCCCAGTCTGCTCAAGAGGTCCCGCCACAACATTTCGCATATCCTGGAATGCCATCAGCTTTCAACCTAGGGTAATATAATAGCTATATAATCCTGTATTCACTGAAAAAGTAGTAGAACCAATTCGTGATCTAGATGATTTAAAAGAGAAAGAGAAGGAAAAAATGAGAGTGGAAGCTGAGGAAAATTCCAAGATTAGCATGCTAGAGTAAAGGCTAAGGGCTATGGAAGGATTTAGTTTTTATGGGTTAGTTGATGCTGCTGGGCTCTACCTAGTTCCTGATGTGGTTATCCCCTATAAGTTCAAAGTACCAAAATTTGAAAAATATGATGGTACAAAGTGCCCCAAAACCCACATCACCATGTATTGTAGGAAGATGGTAGCTCATGCTCATGATGAAAAACTTTTTATGCATGTTTTCCAAGATAGCCTTACTGGCTCTGCGACTAGGTGGTATGTTCAGTTGGATAAGACCCACATTCGCTCTTGGAGCGATTGGCTCATGACTTCATCAGCCAATATCGACACATTATCGATTTAGCTCATAATCGTTTGTCTTTACAAAATCTAGAGAAAAAAACAAATGAGTCTTTTAAAGAATACGCCCAAAGATTGAGAGATATAGCTTCACAGGTACAACCTCCACTGACAAAAAAAGAGACCACAGTGCTGTTTGTTAGCACTTTAAAACCTTTCTATTATGAAAAGATGATAGGGAATGCAACAAAAAATTTTGTCGACATGGTGATCTTTGGAGAAATTATTGAAAGTGCCATAAAAAATGGTAAGTTGAAAGGAGGAGAAACCAAGAAGGCATTAGAAAAGAAAGAAGCTCAAGCTCAAGCTGTGAGTTTTGATAAACAACAATTCAGGGGTTATCAATCCTATCCATCCCAAGGTTACTCTATGTACTATCCTACTGTGAATAATGCCTCATCCTACCCATACCAGCTAGCTCCACAACCACCTTATTCATCCACTTATCGATCAATTTTTAGCCCTCAAGATTTTACTTATAGCCTTAACATTCAAGCTCCTGTAAGAACTCAAATTCGCCCTACTAACCCAGCAAGTGGCTCACGAGAACAATGGACTACTCGAGAAAAATCTGTATTTGATCTAATTCCTATGACTTATATAGAGTTATATCGAGAACTCTATAATAGCCATTTGATTGCCCCCAGCCATGTGAAACCGCTTAAACCACCCTATCTAAAGTGGTATGATCCTACAGTCCACTGCGACTACCACTATGGAATTACTGGCCATTCTACTAAAAATTGCACTACTTTAAAGCATAAGG